TATTTTTTATTAAAGTTGTAGATATCTACCTATATTTTATATATTATATTATAACATCACCTAAAAATAAAAATTAAAAATCAGATATACAAACAGATAAAATTAATAAATATGATTTTTATGTATTCAATTTAAATCTTTATTTTGCCTCTCAATATCCAATTTTAAATTTTAAAAATCTTTAAAGTCTATCTAAACAAATCTAATTTGAAAACAGTTTATCTAATCATATTTTAAATCAATAAAACTCACATGTCTATCACATATCTAACTCACATCATAACTTAGCTAAATAATAATAATTAAAAACAAATGGAAATCACAGATAAATTAATTTTTTAAAAAAAAGATACCCACAACTCCATCTTAAATAAATTGAAAAAAAATACCCGAATAGAAAACACACAAAAATAAAAATAAAAGTAAAAAGATATAGCTATCTATCTATCTATCTATATATTAAGCAAAATGGAGTTTTTAATCCCCAAGACCTATGGGAGTTTCAATATCCCAATCTGAATTTTTAAAATTTTTTATTTAAAAAAAAAAACTCAGCATTTATTGATTTAGTCAAAATTCCATGATTAGTATTTATTAAATTTTTTCAATTCACATGTCTGCAATTATTGATTTGGTCAAAATCTCCTGATCAGTATTTAAAATCCCCTCATACAAATAATTATAGATACAATTCGTGTATAGTTACTGCAATACATTTTTCAACTTCTCCCATACATTATGGTTAGTGATAAGAAAAAAATCTTAAAAAACATAATTTATTTATTAAAAAAATCTAAAACAAATATAAATATTTATAATTATCCCGTGCATAGCACGGGTGATAGGCTAGTTCTTTTTGAAAACAATCCAAATTTAAAAAAAACACTACAAAATTATTTTAAAATAAAAATAAAAAATAGTTGCGCACAAACTAAAAACAATTATGATTCCGCACCACTTGTTTCGCTTCCAAAAACATCAAAAAATAAAATAAAAAACCGCACAACTAAAATGCACAAACTTGAACTAATTTTAAGCTATAAAAAGCAGCAAATAATTTGAAAATGAGGAAAAAAAAAAACTTTCTTTTTTTGAAGTACAACTAATATATAGGACTTAGAAGTGACTGTTGTGCCTCATTTTGAAATGCATTATGAATTTATTTTTATGATATAAACCGTCATTTTGTAAGATTTGTTGAGTACTTCAAGCCTACCAAAAATCATATTAATAGGATATCAATAACTATAGGATCGAATTGCATATTTTTTTACTATTTTTCAAAAGAAAAATTTCTTGTTTATTTTTTTGGTTATCAATCATATAGTTATTGGTATTCGATTAATATAATTTTTGATAGGCATGAAGTACTCAACAAATCTTACAATATGAACAGTTCAGATTATAAAAATAAACTCATAATGCACCACAAAATGAGGCATAATAAGACACAACAGTGCCCCCAATTCCATAAGCATGGAAGCAATTTTAAGTGGGGTTCTATAAACTCAAGACTCCTGTATCCAACTATACTAGAAAATGATCCCACATTGAAAACAAAGTAGAAGAGGAGAGGAAGAGGCATAGAGTAAAGAGAGAGAGATGAGGTACGTTCGAACATACTTACCTGGACGGGGTTAATGGGCGATCAACAAGGCCCATGGCCTAGGTTGGTGACCTCCATTGCACTTGAGGAGGGGTGCCCGCCTAAGGTCTACCCAAGTTGGTGGAGCCTACGTCATAATTTGTGCTAGTGGGGGCCTGCGTTCGCGCGGCCCCTGACCAATTCTCGAGTCTAGAATTATGCGGTTCAGGTGTTCGACGAAATGTCCAAAAGGAAAATGCTCTTATTTAGGTTTTGCTATTGTCTCGGTGTATGTGCTCAATTGTCGAGGTGTTATCTTGGTTCTGTAGTTGGAGTGTTTGATGACAGGATGCCTAGCTGAGTGAAATATGGCGGGTACTTAATTACGCCATGGCTTTTTGTATACTTACAGTTTGGATTTGGTGTTTGATAGAATGTCTACCTGAGAGGAATATGGCGCTTTACCTTATTATTATCGTCTCTATACAATTCTCGAGTCTGAAGGAGTAATTTTTGGTTTTGCAGTTTAGGTGTCTGACAGAATGTCTAGCCGAGAGAAATATGGTGGGGGTACTTTCATTATCTCACATGATTTTTGTGAGTACTCGCGGTTGCTGATTGCTGTGGGGTTTCATTGACAATAGGAATTTCAAGAAGTTATGGTTGACATCTGTGAGTCCTTGATATTGGTTTGGAGTTTAAGGAAATTAGGAGACAATTATATGAGCATCAAATTTGTTTGGTCCGTATTGTTCATTTTAGGCACCAAAACAGGAAACAAATAAGCTGCGTTCGCATGAAAATCAACTCTGTAGATCTTGCTTGGTTTTACTTCTGCTACTATGAAATCATTTACTTCATTAATTAGGATTATACTAATTATTAGAGCCTGCAATTATTACATAAAACATTATTTGGCTTGCATAGGCAAATACAATGCTCGCATTTTCCTGAATTCCCTCATCTTCTGCTTCTTCCCATTATTTTTCCTCACTTTATTTTCAGCTCCTTTGTTTCCTGGGCTTTCTATTGCTTGTTCACTGACTTCTTTTTCTTCTTCAGCATTGGCTTTAGCATGTTCTGTTTTCTTCTTGTGTAAGAACTTGATGAGTCCTCCAGGAGCTATGTTTGCTTCATCGCTTTTCATGAGTTCTTCTGCAATATCTGCTGGGGTTACCTCCACCTCTGTCACAAGCTTCTCTATTTCAGCAAACATGGAGTGATTGTTTATGCCAAGGTAGTTAGAAGCAAGTATCTTAAACCCATAAGGAGTGCAATAAGACATATGGATGTGCATGTCCATGCGACCAGGTCTCAGCAATGCTGGGTCTAGTCTGTCTTTGTGATTGGTTGTAAATATGATTATCTTCTCATCACCGCAACTTGACCAAAGCCCACCAATAAAATTAAGCAGCCCAGATAGTGTCAACTGTCAAGAAGAAAGTGAAACAGTTGTTAAGTTATAATAGTAAGAAGCTGGTGAAAAGAGTGTTTTAAGCTTGGGCAGAGACTTGAAGTTAGGTTTATGGCAAAGAGACTTGAAGTTAGGTTTATGGCAAATTCTTCAATGGCCAGGGATCCTTTGACCATTGGAGTCACAAAAACACAGGAATTTCAAGACACGGTCGTATGGATAGGAGTGCATTGGGATAGGTGGCATGGATTTTGGGGACCTGTGCCCCCTCTTATACATGGTACTAGCTAATGTAGCCGTTGTAGCAGGTTCAAGAACTATAGGTGTTTCTTGGAGAGTAAATAGTTAGACTCACCTGACTGTCACTATTGTTGTATCCTCCAGCTTGTCGGTTCTGAAAATTGCTGCTGCAATCAATATCCTCAATCACCAGAATTGATTTATTTGCAGTATAGATTAGAAGTCTTCTAAGCTCTGCATCGCCTTGGAGGTTTGTGAGCTCCAAATCATATATATGGAACTTCAAATGGTTAGCCATGGCAGCAATCAAGCTGGACTTGCCCGTCCCTGGGGCCCGTACAACAAGTACCCGTGTTTCCATGCCTTCCCAACTCACCGGTAGAAGTCTTTTCTTGTCACAAACCTGTCCAACTCGTCTATGACCTCCTTCTTCAGTGTTGGATCCATTGCCAATGTGTCAAAAGTGGATGGATGGTTTAGATTGATTGAATCCCATGCTCCATAACATGAGTTCAATTTCACTACCTTGTTTTCTTCTTTCATTGCTTTTGACCTCTCCAATACATGTGGCAAGTAAGAGCTTAGTATCATTTTCCTGTATTTCTTGTGGAAGCAGAGCTCAATTGATCTACGCTCCACCATGTTTGTTTCAAAGCCACCTTCATAATCAGTGCTTGTCTTTTGTGTCTCAATACATATCATTTGCCAAGTGAGTTGGACACCTTCGAATGTATCCACAATCTTTTCCCCTTGGTTGATGCTGACACAGAGGTCCTTCTCTCCTGGCACTTTGGACACCTTAAGCCGTTCAACTGTAGGGCTGATTTTTAGGCGCAAATAGATCTCGGACACCTCGAACATTTCATTGAAGGAGAGCCCATCGGTCTCATCAATGACGAGAATCATCTGGGATGAAAAGTTTCCCAGGAGGCCTCCCATTTTGGATAAGATTTTGTCATGGAGTTGCTGTGGTATAAGCTGCTTGGTCATGGCCTGGACTTCATTGAGAACAGACTGGACCAGCATCGACGAGGCTGCGAAAGTGGTGCATGTTGATAGAACTGATGTTGTTGAAAGCATATTTGATAGAGCAAACATTGTTCAAACATTTTTTTGAGGATTGTAGTTGGTTTGCTTAAATCCTGTCCATTTTGGGGAGATGGGTTTTATAGGACAAATTTGCAGGACTGAGCTTCCATTGGAAGCAGTTTGAAATTTAGGCCTAGTTTGAGAAGACTAAATAAGTACACTTTTTGACTTTTTATGAAATATGGATTGGGTTTGGGTTGGGTTTGAAGTGATGTGTTAGAGAGGTGATGTGACTTAAATAAGATGATGTGACTTAAATAGGATAGCGACTTTTTGACTTTTTGTCTTTTTTCAATCTTCCCAAACTAGGCCTAGTAACGAGGCAAGTCAAGCAAACTAATTATTAAATTGCTGGGGAAGCTGAGGATGACAAGGTCAGCACAGTAACTCCAGCAATTCTCAGGAGGCTAGCCCACCATGAGGTTAAAAAATTAAAAAAAAAATTCCCAGTTGACTTCTGTGGTATGGTATTTTTCTAGGAACCAAGAGAGAAGTTTGGAGCTTATGAATCCCATGGTCCCACTCTAATCATTCAAATAGTTTATTTTGTATATCAATATCTGTTGATCATTTACGAAAAATGGGATTGATCTTATAATTCCAAGTACATAATTTCATCAGATTTTTTTTTGAAAATAGCTGTCCCTTTTTCTTTTTCTTTTTGAAAATATGATATTATCATGTGGCTGCAACTGGAGAGAAGTTTGATAAAAATGTCCCTTTTTTTGTTGTTAATTTTTTGGGTAAATTACACTGACCTCTCCTGAGGTTTTTATTTAATATAGATCTCTTTCTCACATTTGAAAAATTACACTTACTTTCCTATTAGATTAAAATAACATATTTGCCTCTTAACCTTTATACATATAAAATAATAGAATAATATAGATATTTTGCTCATGTCATTTCAAGGGAAATAATAATCATCTTATTTGGTTTAACTCACACAAAAAACTTGAGTTTTTTATTTTATTTTTTGTGTTTTTTTTTATTATTTTATTTTTAGTGAATTTTTTTTATATTTTAAGTATTTTTTTTCTTTTTATTTTTAGATACACCTAATCTAGATATACTTAAGGAATACAATATTTTGTGATTTTCTTTTTAAATTCACCAAATACAAAAAAATTTGAAAATATAAAAATTTAATACATTATCTTATTTTGTTATATTCAATGAATTTTTTTTTAAATTTTTTTGTACAAATTTTATACTTTTTAAATATATCTAAAGTAAATTGATCTAATTTAGATATAATGGTGGAAATAAAAATAAAGAATTGTATTCATATATAAAAATTTATACAAAAAATATCATAAAAATGTTATGATATTAATATTCTTGTAAATATATATCATGTTTATAGGTGTTTTGTTTTAAAGTGAAAAGTTACCATCAAGCTATATCATTGTGTTGAAAATACTATATAAAATTTATGTTTCTATATCATTACTCAATAAGAATATGTTCAGTTAAATTTAATGATTGAAAATTGTAGAATGTAATTATAATCATAGAAATAAGAAATGGTAAGAAAAATGACAAAATGGTCATTTAAAAAAATTTAGAACATGACATCAGCAATCCAGGAGCAATTTGTAATGAGATTATAACCTTATGGAGGGGAATGTAATTTTTCAAATATGAGAGAAGATATGTATTAAACAAAAACCGCAAAGGGTGTTAGTGTAATTTATCCTAATTTTTTATACTCTCTCCGTCCCAATATTTTAGTCACTTTTTCCAATTTTTTTGTTCCAAAATATTTGTTTCTTTTAAAAAATCAAGGACTAAAATAATATGAATTTTCTATTTTGCCCTTCTTTTAAATTCATTAATAATACAAAAAGTATAATTATGACAATTGATATTCTCAAAAAAAATGTAATTAGCAAAGAGTAATTTTGAAAAAATAATATTTTTAGAGTATAATAATTGTACTACAAAAAAAAGTTAAATTTCCAAAAAGAGACTATTATTTTGGGATGGAGGGAGTAGATAATCTATTCATAAGAATTTACAAAATAAATGATTTGAATGTGGAATTGTGATGGAGCCCACGGGTCCAATTGTATATAATTGGACTTCCCTTCAACTAGAGAGAAGTCTGATCATTTTTCTATGCAGAAAAGCTATGATTCTTGAAAACAAAAATGTTTTAGAACTCTAATAAAGGAAATCTAATCGGGGATGGACCTCACTGTGATAGTGATGTTTAGTAATAATACATAACTCTTATATTAGATCTCTAAATGGAGCTCTAGTGAGGTGGAAGAGAGAGAGTAGAGAGAGATAAAGAGAGGAGTGTGGGCTCCACCTTCATATGTCATATGGATACTCTCCACATCATTAGAATTCTCAAACATTATTCTAGTGATATTTGTATCTTTTTTTTTATTTTTTATTTTTATTTTTTATTTATCATGTAATTAAAACACATTAAACCTCCTTCATTTAAGAAATGTATCATTGTTGTCCATGAAAAAAGGAAAATGCTAGAGATCCTAAATTTTCTACCAAATAAATGACTAAATGTCTCACATGGGTGTGGGGCTCACAAAATTGCGAACCCCACACCCATGTAAAATATTTAATTATTTATTTGATAAAAAATTTAGTGTCCCTAGCATTACTCATGAAAAAACCCTAGAAAATACTCTAAAAATGAAGTGGATGTTGTGACGCGAACTCTGTTGTGCATTTCTTAACTAGAATCCCACATTGTGAGTAATAACAAGAGCACCCACCTAAGGTCTAGCCAAGTGGTGGAGCCCATTGACATATACATCGCTAGCTATGCTCTAAGGTGCTGTTTGGTGTAGCTGTTAAAATAAATTATAGATTATAACTTAACAGATTATAGATTATAACTTTAATCAGAAACTATTAATCTGTTTGGTATAGCTGTTAGATTATAGATTTAAGTTGTTGAGTAGTATTTATTAAATAAGCTGTGTGTAGCTTTTTCAATTAATTTTTATTTTTTATTATTCACTATTTGTTTACATTTTTCATAAAAAATAATAATAATATTTTATAGTCCATTTGGGTCTTTTTCTATTTTAAAAAAAATAAAAAATAAAACAATCTAAAAGTGTAACTGTGAATTAACATGTCCACAGTAGAAGCTGATAATCATAAGCAAGGGGTGAGCAGCTTCTCAGAATCAGCTTTTTTGACTTAAAATAAGTTATTAGAATCAGAAGCTGTTTGAAATAAGTTTAACCAAACAGTCCAAAATAACTTTTTAAAAGTCAGAAGCCATAAGCTGGCTCAAAAAAGCTCCACCAAACACCCCCTAAGCACCCTGCTATTTCTGATTGACATAGACATCGGTATCATTGCCAAGAACGGAATTAGAAGAAGATTATGGAGGTCATGGCTTTCTGTTTTTATGAAAAATATAATTTATTATGATATTTTAGAAATATATATATTATTTTATACATAAAATGGCCTCTATTATAAAAAATATATATCTCATTTTTATCCCATCTTATAATTTCTTTCTATTTTACACCAAAATTTTTTTTTTCATCCCATTAGAAACTACTTTGATGATATTTGAATTTGTTTTACATATATAAATATAATTTATATATCATATTCTACATATATGTATATGGTAAAAAATTTTATTTGTCTTTTGTCCCGTCGGATGGCGAAATCCTAATTTCTAATTTCGTCCCTGTTGTCATGGATATAAGATCTGTGTAGAAAGATGTGATTGATCTTCTTTATTTTGTGCTAGTGGCTTTGGCATCTTTGTTCCCCTTTAAACTGCTTGACAAAATGCCCCTATGAGTAATCTCTCGAACTGCTTGAACTTAGGCGGATGCATTGCAAA